TTTTCTATTTAAAAACAATACAGTAGGTCAGTAATGAAAGATGACCTCACTTTACGTCACATTGTATGTTTTCTTGCACAGCTGGATGTTGGACTAAAAAACAATTATTTGCATTGGTTAAAACTGGTGAGCTGAAGTCACACCGAAGTGACAGTCAGAGTATTTTGCCTATTCTTAACCCTTTTAAGCCCACCAGCAACTACAGTTGATGAAGTTCATATAGTTGCAATTTTCCTTTTAGATGTAATTTTCCACGTTCTCCACTTTTATTTTCTCAGTGACATACAAAACATTAAAAAAGAACATTTAAGAAAAAAAAAATACTTCCTGTCAGATGAGGCCTTTAAACTCCTACTCCTAGAAAAATGGAGGCAAATCCTTCCAAATAAAGGCAATTTTCATTTTACATAATTTAGATTTTGTTTACAGATGTATATCAACATAATCATAGAAATCTTTACATTCATCCAAATAAAACAAATCTTTCAAGGGATCTATAGTTTTTTGTATAGGCCTACTTTGTCAAAAGTTCAAGTGGCAACTATAGTTCCCCATCGGGAGGGGAACTTCAATGCTATGTGTAAAACTTCCACTATGGGGATTTTATCAGAATCCAATCATCTGAAAGAGTATAAAAACGGGCCAATGAAATGCCAATCAGTTGGCTGTTTCAGAGTGCCCAGCTGGCGTCAATTACAATCAGCTGTTGTATAAAGACAGCTCGTGCCATGCAAGCCAAGCATTTTTGCTTGTTTTAGAGACTTTCACTAAGCTAAGAAAAATGTTAAATGACTAACAATTGTACCTTACTGTAACACTTGAGCTGGTTTCAGTTCTTAGTTCTTTAACTTTCATTTTATTTAAAATATATGTATTTTACTTATTTGGTAATTAAATACTGTTTTTTTATTTAAACTATTATTTTTATTAAACAGTCAAGTTGCTTGTTAATTTCCGATACAAAGAAAAGGAAACTATTTATTTTTGGCATGCTTATTCATATAAAATCATTATTTTGGTCTATAATCACCATGCATTTTTTTTAATTATTGCATTTTTGCTTTGAGAAGGCTATTCAAAGATCAGTTCAAACTTTTTAAAGTTTTTAAAATGAAATCAGTTATTCACTGTATAAAAATATAAAATTTTGTAATATATTTATAATTTTGAAATATTTATTTATCGGTTATCAGCCTCCAAATCTAAAGAGTTATCGTTTATTGATATCAAAACAATCTATAGCAGTGCATCACTAAAATAAATATATACTTTTATTTATCTTTTTGACACAGTATCTGTTAGTGAAACTAGTGTGTTTCATCTCTTTAAGACAAACGGATTAGTTCTTTGTGTGTTCATATCAATTAAAATTATTTGAAAGATAATTTTCAGGGGGTTCATATCAAAAGGTTTTCTCATTTTAAACATAATAAATGTGTTTATGAATATAGATTAATTTGTTTAAAGCAGTTGTTTTTAGTTAGAAGGCCAAATGTTCTCTGCCTATTCAAATTTCACAATAAGGGGTTATGACAACATTTTTTGCCCAACGGCAACTATAGTTGCTGCATATTTTTTTCTTGAAACCTGGAGAAAATAAATGCAAAACATGTTCATATAGGACACCATTAACAAAGCTACATGTATGAAATTATTTTTTACAAATTTGGGCACAAATGGGTTAAAGCCTTTTTTTGATGGATGTTTTTCACAATTATGGTGCCATAGCAGTCAAAATTAGATAAATGAGTTCATATATGGGACAAATTCTGGACACTTGTCAATGAGGGGTGGGTCTTTTGAACCCCCTGGCTATGAGCACTGTCTCCAAAAAGACAAAAGTGTTTCAGCAAACAATGTGATTAATTAAAAAATTTGTTTACAAATATATTTGTTCTTATATGCTTGTAGCTCGAAGGTTTTACCATCAGAAGTGGGAGAAAACCTTTGCCCTTCGTCTTCTTCGACATCATGGGTTTAGAATCTGAAGCATTGGTTGGGTCACAAACAGAGGACATCATCAGTGCTGTGTTTGGCCACGTGCAGGATGGCTATAAAGTAAAAAAAAAACTATATTAATTGTGCATTAAACATAATATTTGCATGTCTAAGTGTATGGTGTTAATATATTTTGCTACATTTCTAACCTTAGTTCAACGAGGAGCGGCCACTCAATTTTCAGGATCAAGAATATACCACAAAACCCAACCTCTCCGATGAGTGTTTCTGCCTGGTTTATATCATAGACGCAGATACATTCCATCTTATGGATGATCGGCTTTTTGACAAGCTGAAGATCATCCGCAAGAGAATCAGTGATAAAGGTAAACTCACCCCCTGTTCATGATAGCCAACATTATAGTTTATGAGCTTGTGTTTTAAAGCAAATGAAGCCTCAGATAATTTGTGGCTTGGGTATACAGTATGCACTACCTGCAGCAAGGGCCAAAATGTTGATTGTTGGTGAAATAGGGTAGTCTTTACAAAATGCATGATAAACATGTCCCACAAAACGCCACAAGACACTGAGTCCAACCATTCTTCTGAATTAAAAAAAATAATAATTGCAGTGACCTATAGCTGATGAAACAGCAGGATAAATAATGAAGTGGAAGATTTAGGGAGAGTTATATACAATGTCAGCAAGCATGGTTTCTGGTCATGTGCTGGTTCTAACTGGTATTGGCCATGTGCTGGTAAGGATCAGGTTAGGACCATCACATGGCCAGCAAACAACCAACTTAAAATCTTATTTTGGTGAATATCACGTGTACAGAATGTAATTAAGAGGTAAATGGTGAACTGAAGACCAAATTTAGCTGTAGTGTACACGTGGCCATTGAAATTGTCACTCGCCATTACTCAATGGCTACTCAAAATTAAATCACCATGAATATATAGATTTTTTTTTTTGTCTTTGAGGCATTAGTCTAACTTTTCCAGTGCCACTTTGGTCCTTGTGTACAGGAAAGTTGCTATAGATATACAGTAGTCAACATTTGAAGTGGATCAAAAAAGTTTTTCAAAATGGTCTTAAGACACAAATGAGATTTGTTCAATAGTTTAAGGGCAACTTTAATGAAAGGTTTTTTAGCCACTGACTATACCCTTTAACAAAAATTGCCACCAGTTTGCTTTGGTTGTAAGTGGAAATTTTTCTTTAACCTCTACATTGAATCTGTATTTGTTAAAGGCATTGCCCAAGTGGTTGTCATGACCAAAGTGGATGAAGCATGTCCACTGGTCGGAAATGATCTAAAGAAGGTCTACACGAGCAAGAGGATCAAGGATAAGGTATGAGACCATCCAACATGTATGACTGCTGCTTTTATATACTGCTTTTATCTTTTACATATTTGATGTTTATTTGATTAATTGATTTTGCATTCTGTTTCTGTCCAGATTGTGCAGTGCAGTCACAAACTGGGTGTGCCACTGACAAGCATCTTCCCAGTGAAGAACTACCATGATGAGATCAACACAGAAGATGATGTTGATGTTCTGATACTGAAGGCTCTTGAACAGATTGTTGAGAGTGCACATGATATATTGTTGGATAAGAAAAAATAAATATACTGAAAAAAGTAATGCATAGGTAGTTGAATTAAGTTATGTTCTGAAGGATAGCAGTCTATGACTCAGCAGAATATTGTGTTTTGCACATGTGTACATACAAAGAGTTTCAAAGCTTTTACAATTGTGATGCACATATTTAAGTTTAGAAAACATTAAAAGACAATAAAAAAGAAAAAAACAAAGAACGAAGAAACTGTTAATGTGAAAATGTTAAATTATCACAGAGTAAAGGAGTTAGTGAGAAACAAAAAATGTTTTTTTTTCTCAATAATGCATGTATTAAGCCTATTACCAAAATAGTTGAAGGCATCTGAAACACAATTTATGCTCAAACTGATAGAAAGTGTAAATAGCAGCTGTCTTGAAAATTATATTGAAATAAATTTATTTGCTGATTTGCATTTCATCTCCACAGTAAGATAAAAAATCCGGCATTATTTATGGATTTTTCAGATTTTCGGTTTTGCAATAAAATTTTATTTAGCATTTTCTCTATTTCAAATATTGATTATTAAATTTAAAATGAGTTTTTCTTCCAGCCACAATCCATCTCTGGGTAACATCCACACACACATTCACACACACACACTCATACACTCTGGACAATTTAGCCTACCCAATTCACCTGTACTGCATGTTTTTGGACTATGGGGGAAACCGGAGCACCCGGAGGAAACCAATGCGAAAGAATATCG